ATGTATATATATATATATTAGTATATATACAAATATATATATATATATATATATTAATAGTCATATAGATTTCTCCTGGCCTTGGTCGTGGCGACGGAGGTGTAGAGCGGCACTTCCCTGAATCAGAGTAGGCTGCAGTTGCACTCAGCTGTCACGTCTCGGCACAACAGAAAAACTTGGACGGAACCGGACAGCCCCATACATACATCCATAAATACTTACGTGCGTGCATCTATGCACGCATGCATGCATGCGTACATCGATACCTACATACACACGCATACGATAAATGAATACCTATGTAGAAGGAGACAAAGAAAGGGGCAGAGAGAGAGAGCGAGAGAGAAGATATGCGGTGTACGTGTGCATATACAAGTATGTGTGTTTCCCAGGATAGGCAAGCTTCTTCAGCAGGTTGAACAGCGTAGGAAGCTGCTCACACCTTGCCAGCAGCTTAGCTTCGGGAACTCTTCAGGAAACGTTACCTGATCTGTTTCCATGCTTACTGTACAAAAATACAAGGACAGGGTCTCTCAGCATCAGTCTAGAATCACGGCAACACACTGCCGAGGCACTCCACGGCTGCAGATGCTTGCTGGTATTCTGCCTGATCTGGGCCTGATTGCAAAACCATCAGTCGGTACGAAGTACGGAGCTTGAACGGAAGTGCCTGGGCCTGACTGCGACAGCAACAGCCGGTTCAAAGCACAAAGGTTGAATCGTCACAGTCTTCAAATGCTCAGGCCGCGGCTACAGTAGTCCGAATGCCTCCAGTACTTCCATGTCGTAAAGTTACAGGGGGGAACTTGTGAGATTTCGCTGTGGCACTCAGGATCATGCTGACCACAGAATACAGAGAATGCATGACGAGGGCCAGCGGTAAGCGCTACTTTCTGCAGTCCGAAAATCATCAGAGCTGCACCCACACGAGATCAAGGGATCTTTGCACCGTCGGCCTAACGTTCCCCTGTCTCGAATGCCTCCAGTAGTAGTCGCAAAACCGCTGGCCATCGACACCTGGAAGACTGCGTGTTGCGCGGCTTTGATGCGTGAGAGAACTTGAACTGCATTACCTTCCACTAGTATCTATATTGCCATATATTGCCCACTGCTTGAGTGTTACTGTGTTACCAGCGGTGTTTCGTCCACAAAACTTCTGCTGCCCAGTCCGGCATATAGACGTCCACATCAGTGTCTTCTATTTGTCTTACTCGGGCCCTGGGCTTGGCCCTATGGTGGCGGCGGTGGCCATGATAAAGATCATGACTGCCTTTCAGTGTTTGCTGGTCGATTCAAACGATCGTAGCCTGCATCAGCCCATGTCAACTCAATTAAGATGGGCTTCGGTTCGCGTTGCCGTTTGCAGCAGTCAGTATGCAGCCGCGAGCCGATGCGCGAGACTTCTAGGCTTCTTCAGCCAGGGCTTTGCTGAAACAATTTCATCAGCGAGCTCAGCTCTCTTCCTTGGCCGACGGCTTCATCCAGAACTCTCAATGCATATTCTTGGTGTGCTGGAGGGGATGTGGCAATCATCGACCTTGCCTTCTGGAGCATGTTCACAAATCCCCATTGTCTCTCCGAGAGTCGACGTCCCAGGATTGCGCACACGAGCTCTTCCACGAATGTAGTTTCAGGCTCAATGCCTCGAGCCGACACGTCATCGACATACGGTAAGATCTCATCCAAAGGCCGACCGGCATGAGAGGTGATCACCAGCGAATAGGTAACCACAGTCGCGTTAAAGCCTCGAGCACGCAGCTCCTTAAACAGATAGGCAGCAGCGTTTGGGCTGCATGCAACCCTGCACCCGGCCAAGGCCTGGTGCCAATCAAGAAAAGGCCTGCAGCACAAGTGACATTGCCGGATTTTGAAGCTGCATACAGCATCGCGCACATAGCTAAGCATGCGCTCTCATTGTCACTCCAAAATTCTTCACCTTGGACATCGTCCCAGAAGCCGAAGGCTTTGCTCGTCTGCTCACGCTCGGCAAAAAGCCGAATTGCGCGGCAGTAGCTCTTCAAGTTCTTTTTTACACGATCTCGCTTCATTTGGTGAAAGATGTTGATGCCTTTGTTGCACTGGTCACATCTCAATGCAGCGGCCATCGCCGTGTTGAATACTGCGGCATTGCCTTCGCTCGATGCCTCAAAAGCTTTCTGCACCGCAAACCATTCACCTCGGCTGGCGGCATACCTCATTTCCTGGATTAGATTCTGGTCCTGCTCTGGGACAGCGTCATAGTTCTCTCTTGCAGAGCAACGCGTTTGCCCTCCTTCTCCCGCTTGATGATGCCACTTTGCGCGCTGAAGCAGACATGAAGACACAACTGCCGAAGCAGCAACGAAAGCCACACTATTTGCACGAACCTCCGGCAAGATCCTGCAGACATGCTTCCAGACAAGACGAGGTGACTGGGAACCGTTCGCCTGGATGTATCCAGGGTCTCGCTTAAAGCTAGGCCAGCTCGGTAAACTTTCAATTGATGTGTCGTGAAAACAGTATCCGATGTTGGCTCAGGCAAGTCTTGCTTTACTGTTGTTAAACCCACAGCGGGGTTGAGCCCCAAAGCGTCAAATCCCACAAAATCCCGCAAGCCTCAACCGAACATTCGACATAAGAACCCGAAATCCTAATTGTCTACAACACCAAAGCTCCAAGACCATGAAAACGTTAACCCTAACCCTAAACCCTTTAAGCCCACACCCCCTAGCCCTAAACCGCCCAAACCCGTGAACCCAGAAACCGTGATCCCCACACCAAACTTCCCAAACCCTAAACCCGAAAATCCCCAACCCCACACAAACCCCTGAACTTCGAAAACCCTAAACCCGGAAAGCCCTAAACCCTAAAGCCCTACACCCTAAACCCCCTTAAACCCTAAACCCTAAACCCGAAACTCTAAACCCTAAACCCTAAACCTTAAACCCTGAACCCCAACTTCATCAGAGCCCCTCGCAGTTGGCAGACTCGGGATCTGATGGAACCAGAGCGCCCCTCGCGGTTCCGAAAAAATTCTCGGGGTTCCAGGGTTTAGGGTTTAGGGTTTAAGGTTTAGGGTTTAGGGTTAGGTTCCTATAAAGGAACTCTTAAAGGAAGCCTTAACGGAACCCTTAGAGGGAGCCTTAAAGGGACCCTTAAGGGTGTCGGGGCTTAGTGGTCCTGTGACGGCTCCTATGAGGGTTTAGGGTGCTTTTAGGGGTTTTAAGGTTTTTGGGTCTTAGGGTCTTAGGGTTTCAGGTTAAAGGCTTTTGGAAACTAGGTTCAGGCTTAGTGCGTTTACAGTAAGGCTCTAGGGTGTTTAGGCCAGGCTTCAGCGGCCTGGGGTTTGAGGCTTCTGCCTTCGTAAGGGCCTTGGCCTCTTCAATTCAGATTGGAGTTTAGGGTCATGCCTGCAGCTTGACTTGTAGATTCTTCACTGCCAAGCAAACAAAAAACACACACAACTTTTGGGGCGGTGGTTCCCGGTAGTCACTACGTCTCTAGAGACTGATTGTAACAAGAAGCAAAGACATGATAAGAGCAGTCATACTACATGATGACGGCGATACTGATATTGGTAAGCTACAGTCAAATCATGAAGCCCTACGCCCTAAACCGCTAGATCCAAACCCTAAACCCTAAAACCGTCACGAAGCCAGGATGCTCCGCATAGGCCTTTTTGCCATAGAACCTCGGGAAAGCCGCACTGGGACGAAGGCTCCAGGGCTTCTTCCGGTCTTGTTGGATTTGGGGCTCAGAAGTTTGGGGTTTAGAGTTGCTTTCCTTTTTCGAAAATCTTGGTCGTGAGCGGAGTTGCATTCAGAACAGCGCTAGTCGAACCAGAAGGTGGCATCCATCATCGAACAAAGGGTAGTCTTGAGGCCAGGGTGCTGATCGTTGTCCACTTTCCAGCTGCAACCTTTTCGCTTCGTCCTGCTTGGTTCGCTGCAGTCGAACTCGATTGCTGCCAATGGGCAACACATCGCCGAAAGCTGAGGCTTGCGCGTGCAGACCGGCATCAGGTGCACCGAGAAGTTCAACATTGCGAGGTACTCGTAGAGGGCCCCCAGCGTACCCAAAACCTTACTCAAGTTGCAACCCGCATGTCTGCAGGAGTGGCTCGCAGGCTTGTCTTGCAACATTGGCACCAGTGTTTCAGAAAGCACGGCTTTCAAATTCGCAAGCTTATGGTGCACACATCTAAAGCAGCAGTTACTCATTCGTCCATTCGTGCCACCCAAGAGACGCCCAGAAGCGTGGCTGTCCTGAGTCGACCAGGAACTGTAAGGGCTTGCAAGCAGCTGCCACATGCCCTTGAGAGCTAGTCGGCCGATAGCCGCAGAGTTCGGACGCGAAGCAACCAGCTAGGCCAGGGCAGAAGTGAAACTAGCACTACATGCCCCGAGCCTGGTTCAGAAAGCAGACCATGCATGGGTTTCCTTTAACATTACGGGTGGGGAGGTCTTACAAATATTGGACATGTAGGGTGTGTAGTGAGGATGCCATATCATCTGACTTCCCAAACATGCAGTTGCATTGGTTGCGGCTGCGAATCCGACTGCCAAGTAGGTGCTTCGGTCCGCCTCCCTTGGCCTTGAAGCAGGTGCCACCAGTACTATACTACTACTACTACTACTACTACTACTACTACTACTCCTCCTGCTGCTGCTGCTGCTGCTACTACTGCGACTACTACTACTGCTGCTGCTGCTGCTGCTACTACTGCGACTACTGCGATTCCTACTATTCTTACCAATAATTTTTCAGAGAGGGAAACCAAGTAGGCCCCCGCAGATTTTTGTTGGTGGTGTTGTCACTGCCGTTGAAGTTGCTATTGCCGTTGCTGCTAGTATCCTTTTTTCTCGGCATCCCTGTTAGTATTTTTGATGATGTTCTTGCAATGATTTCAGCGTTGTGAGTAGTAGAGCTACTGTTACTGTTGTTACTATACTACTGTCATTACTGTTGTTGTTGCTGCTGTTGCCGTGGTTGAGTTTGTCGCTATACCTTGATTGCAACTATTGCGGCTATTGCCACGCTTGATATTGGTGACAATGCCGAGCCTAGGTCTAAAGGGCCTCAACAAGAAACCTTGTTTTGGGGCATGATTATACTGCGACAGTCAGGGAGCCACAAGGCAGAGCATCAGTCTTGTTTTGAGGTGTACTAGTTGTACTGTAATTACAAGGAGACTGTCAGGCCTACGATTCGTAATTATTCCGACCCCATTTTGACCTAGCCGCAGCGTAATCTCAGAAGCAATGAATTCCTGTAGGACGTCTTGAACTCGAAACCATGCTTCCGTTGTTTTCTCGAGGAGACACTTTGCAAGCCCACTGTCCCCTCACGCTGCTAGCGCCACTAGCCCTATAAAGCCCTACAGGAGCCCCATTCAACCCGCAAAGACTTCTTCTATTCAATTTTTTTGTTATGATCACCTTTATGGTTATTACGGATGTTGAGCGTGGTCCGGCCAAGCCTGCTCCTCGGCCGCTCGAGATTTCTCTTGAAGCACGGATGCCGAGTCGCCTGCGGGTATTTGGAGCAACATGCAGCGAGTTGCAAGGACACCTGCACTTGCTGTGGCTTCTCTTGCTAGCCTGGCGCTCTCTGCCTGCACATCTGAGTAGCTATTGCTGCGATCACCATGATAGAGCTGGTCGTGATGTGACCAATGGCGCCGACGCTCACAATTCGGATGATGGCGATGATGATTAGTGATGACCAGGGCTGGCGATGGTGATGCTGGTCATGACGGTGATGATTGCTGCCGTTGTGAAGGTGGGGCTAGGTTGTGGTGAAGATGAGCATGATGACTTTGATAGTCACTAGATCTCAGATTCTTGCCAGGACTTCTGCGACTATTATGACCGTTCTGCTTCTTTGCAGCTTGTTGGTGACGTGAGTCCAAGATATCTAAGAATCCAGTTGCTAGTTTTCTCAACATGAACCTGAATGGCTTTGTGCCAGATTGTTCCACTACAACTACTGCAGCGGTTCCTCCTCATCTCTTCTTGCTTGCCGTTCTTCTCCTCCTAGTAACTCGTATTCAAAGTTCTAAGTTCTGATTAACAGCAGCAGCAGGAGCAGCACTGTGGTCGTAGTCAGTAGCCGAAGTATCGCAGTCTCACGGTCTCTCACCGTCATCATCAACATCAACATCATCATCATCACCATCATCCTCTTCTTATTCGTGATCATCGTGCGAGCTTCCGCATCATCGTCCTGCACGATGGCCCGCATGATGAGATTCCAATTTGAGGTAATTCATGCTTGTAAGAGCATCAAAAGATGGCGCTAAGAACCACACGGAGAATAGCAAAGCTCGTTTTACCCAAATGGCAGTGATACCGCATCGCCATCACGATCCTCCTCCTCCTCCGCCTCCTCACCATTGTACTCATCCTCATCATCACCAGCACCATCATCATCATCATCATCGTCATAATCATCATCACTACGAGATCACTAACGCTGCCTACGGCGTCGTCATCTTCATCATGCAACAGCAGCACCAGGCGGCACCACCACCACCGAAGACTCTGGGGTTGCGAATACGTGCTGCGCACTTAGCTAAGGATCCCAACGCTAGCGGCCGAGCAATTGTGATGATCAAGAAGGCCGTGATGGTGATGACGATGATGATGATGATGATGATGATGATGATGTTGATGTTGATGTCGACGGCGACTGCAAAGGTGAAAGTGATCAGGAAGTAGTGATGTTGGTGCAGTAGCCTTATTCACCAACGTCTCGATGAACTCAGTCTTTTCCCAGATGAAACTCATCGTCTGGTGAGGATGATCAACCCCGGATGAAATCTCTTCAGGCATGAACATCTTTAAGATGACATCTGTTATGACGATGTTGACGATGATGATGATGGTGATGATGGTGATGATGTGTAGAGCTGTGGCGATTGCAATCTGAATGGTCTGTTCAGTCACGAGGCCCACGATGAGGATGGGGAGAATGAAGAAGATCCAGAAGTAGTCGTCTTCTGACGATTAAAACTACCCCCGCACAGGCTACAAGACGTGCTCCTGCCATGGCTGTAGGCAGCGCAGACGCAGGGCCGACGCAGTTGGCATTCGGTGCTGTTCGCGGCAGGCCCGTGGCCAAGCCTAGAAGCCGAGGCTATGAAGGAAGCCACTTGAAGGGTTTGGCAACTTGGCGGAGTCGGAGTTGAAAGGTTCAGGTTTAGGGCGGGGTTTTTGCGTCTAGTGGCGCGGAAGACCCCTCCCTTCCTACATTGCAGCTGGGAGGCTCACTTCATCCTCGGCTGTCTGCGCCTACTGCCTATTCGTGAAAGGCAGTTACATGCTCTTCTCCCCAGTCTCCCTACCTGCACAGGCGAACGGGTAACGTAACGCCGGTCACTGGATAAACCTCAAGTCTGCGCAAAGCTTCAGGATAGTACTTCGTGAATTCCAGCTTCAGTTCTCCGCGCTTCCGGCGACCACAGAAGCCACCATAATCCTGTCACTCAAGCAGGCCATGCCCCGAACGCAACGTACCCGTCAGAGGCGTTGGCCCCTGAGCCCCTGAGTCCTCTCTGGCATATACTGCGGCACACAGATCGCTCACCTCGGATCACCGGTTCTTGTGGAAACCGCCGGGTAAGGGCATGCTCTCATCGCGGCATTACAGAGCCAAGAAGAGAACCCTAAACCCTAAACCCTACCTTAAGAACCCAAAACCCACTTTTTCGTAGGTTCTTATTATGACCTCTAATATGGGACTTATAGGGACCCTACAAAAATGTAAGCCTCCACACAAGATTGCACAAGCGTGTTGCAGCACGTGAAAAACCAGGCTTTGTTTGCGACCTCGAGGCTGCGAAGTGTTGCCGGTAAGAGGATCCGCAGTCGAGGCCTTTCACACTCTGTTAGGGCTTAGGGTTTAGGGTTTAGGGTTTAGGGTTCAGGGTTTAGGGTTTAGAGTTTAGCGTTTTAGGGAGGCTGGGAAACTGCGCACGTCTTCGAATCGCACAGCAGCTTCTCGGGCTCGTGCGTGGACGATGGGAGAAAAGGTAGAGAGCAAACAGCAGAGCTGCGATGATGAGGGTTACCCAACCTGACAGCAGCAAGGACAGGCACCAGCCTTGTTGTTAGAGTTGTTCCGAAATTCTTGCAATCACGGAGCAGGCCATTTGGTAGTTGACTTCGTCCATCCTTGGCACGATGGGCCAAGATCACGACAGGCGTCACGAGCTGTTGAACCCAAAATCTTTACCCAGAGAACGAAAGGCGCTGGCCTTCCTGAGCCCCCCGATACCCAACCGCCCCAAACTCTGAGTCGACTGTAGGAGCCTTCCTGCCGTTGAGCTGCAGAGAGAAGATCTCCGCTCCTGAACCTCGCAAACGGTCAAGTCTTCCACGCAAGCAACGTGCCAAGAACGTCAAAGCCTCGTTAATCCGGCGGTCTCAAAAAAACTGCTCGGGCACTATGTCCGTGGTGAATGTTGAATTTTTCCAGCATGATTATGCAGTCCCTTATACTTCTGAGATATGATGAGAGCGAAGACCACAGAAACTAAAACTGCTGCTGTTGCCCTGCTGCTGCTACTGCTGCTGCTGCTGTTGCTCCTACACGCTCCCAGCAATGCTAATACTAGCAGTTCCTAGCAATAACAGAGGTAGCAGTGGTTGCCGTCCTCGTCGGCGCCATAGTAGTAGCAGCAGCAGTAGCAGTATGGCAGCAGCAGCAGCAGCAGCAGCACGAGTAGTAGTAGTAGTAGTAGTAGTAGTAGTAGTAGTAGCAGCAGCAGCAGAAGTAGTAGTAGTCGTAGCAGCAGCAGCTGTAGCAGCACCAGCAGCAGTAGCAGTCGCAGCAGCAGCAGCTGTCGTGCCAGTTGTAGTAGTCGTCGTCGTCGTAACAAGTAGTGGTAGCAAGAGTGGGAGTAGGAGAAGGAGGAGTAGCAGTCCTAGTAGAAGCCGCACTACCAGTAGTTTCAGCAGCAACAGCATGAGCAGCAGCAGCAGCAGTAGCAATAAGAGTAGTAGTAGTAGTAGTAGTAGTAGTAGTAGTAGTACTGGTAGTGGTAGTAGTAGTAGTAGTAGTAGAAGTAGTAGCAGCAGCAGGAG